AGATCTACGGTCATATCATATAAATATGTTTGTTTTTTTTAAGTTTATGTGACTGTTGCAGTAACTATAATAATAGTATAATAAAAGTTGCAATGATCATACTGAAATGTTAAATCTCCTGAAATACAGCTAATATTAGTAATAAAGTTTTACATTTATAAAATAAAAATAAATAGTTAAAATATTTTTCTATAGCAAATGTAATTATTATATTTAAACATTATTTATGCATATTGTTTGATTGATTTTCAATATACAAAATAATTGATTATTGTAGTTGAAATGCACAACGGTTACAATGCAATTAATCGAAATAATGTATAGTTAATAACATTTGATCAGGTTTACTTGACCGAATTTCACAGTAATTATTATATAATTCAGTTCGCCAGCACTAACCTACCTCACACGCAGGATAACAGAAATGATTAAACTCGTATTAATATCGTAGTTTACCGTTGCAACATGTAATTAGCCTTGCTGTTTCCAATAATTATTGTTTCTCACAGACCTGCTGCGTACTTTCTGCTTACCCTGTCGCAGTTTTTACATTATTCCACTGCTCACGGCCTATTTTTTCAAAATACGTAAATGCCGCTTGCATAATACATATGATTTATTTAAATATGTCATGAATTGCAACTTGCTGCTTGTGCAGGACGAGTCGCCGATACCGAATTGTCCTTGTAAAATCAGCAGTTTCTGCAAAGTTTTGTTTAAATATTAATATTTGCAACGTTAACAACATGCTAATGAAAATTGAATATTATCAATTTGAATATTTAGATTTGGATAACATTTGGTATTTAGAGCGTAAAAATTTCAATATTCATAAAAAATTCTTAAAATATTTATTATTTGAAAAATTATATAATTAATGTTATATTACGCAAATAAGTACTGACTTTTGTTTTGGTTCTGCTGAATATTTGTAGATTTATTGGATTGGTTAACATTTAGAATTAGGGCGTAGAACAAAAATATTCAATATTCTAGAAACAATCATAATTCATAAAATATTTCTTGTTTGGATAAGAATAAATATATTCCATAAGTTACCTAATACTTATTGTACCATGCATATCGGCACTATTAAGGAATAATGAGTTGCTGAGTTTCACCTGAATATTTGCAGATTTATTGCTCACTTCAAAGAGAAATATTCTGAGATAGATTTGGTTGAGTAGTTTTCCCAAGAACTAAGATCAGAGTTCGGTAATCTTACATCTCACAGTAAGGCAATAACAATATTGCATTTCTTCAGTTTCCGTATTTAGAGAACAATTATTATTATCGAAAATGTATCAAATATTAATTAAGAAATACCATAGAATAAATACTTGAGACAAAAAGTATTATTTTTAAGAAATGTGAACTGAAGAAAATTTAATGTTACCATAATAAAATGCGTTAAAAGGAATAAAAATATGTAAATCGGATATGCAGGTATATAACTATAATGTTAAATGATAAAATCTGTGTCGAAAACGCCTCAAGGACTATAAGACTTTGCTGCAATATTATTTTGTAGTAGTGATAGCATCTCTATATAGTTATTTACGATATATGTATAATTTAATTAAAATTTATGGTTCTCTATTTTTATCTCGCAATGCATAAAATACTTACAAACTGCATTTCTTTCAATTGCGTCTCGCGTAATTCTGTTGTTTGCATGCATATTCAATGTACTTTTGTTTACAGTTGTCTTGCATAATCTACTTATTATGCAAAGAAATAATTCTAGCAAATGTAAGAAAAATAATAATCTTTTGATTATTTTGCCCTTTTCTCTGGAATGGATAATCAATAATTGCTATTATTACAATAATTTCATTCAAAAGATTTATGCTCTAATTAATTTAATATAATTATAGATACGTCACTAAGAGTATACTAAACAATGCATACTTTTTAGATATGCATTTTAATAAATTGTAGCGTTAATTTATTTTTGTTTAACAATCATCTTATTCTTTTGTATACATCTAAATGGGTCTATATCGCAAGCCCAAATATATCGAAATCCTGACTACCATAATCCCGACAATCAAAATCCCGACAGTGTCTTTTATTATTATAATTTCTACAATAACATTTTTAAATTATTCTACTATATTTTAATAGGTATGACGGATACTGAAAAAAATATTTTTAAGACCTAAGATTATTAATTATTGTTATTTATTCTTAATAACAATAAATAATATTAATTATTATTGTATTTTATTTTCGTTGACTTATTCATTATAAAACTTAAGAATAAGAAATATTCTATAATAAAATTAGTTTAGGTTATTAACAATAAATACCAACAATTAATAATCTTATTGAGTTTTAGATTGTCGGGATTATGGTAATCGGGATTTTGACATAGTCGGGATTTCGATATAATGGGGATTTCGAACGTTGGGATTTCGATACACTCGGGATTTTGAAAGTCGGGATTTCAATACACTCGGGATTTCGAACGTCGGGATTTCGATAGACGGGATTTCGGTTGTCGGGCTTGCGATCTAAATAGATAAATGAGTATTAGCATAATCATGGCCAAAGTAAGGTTATATGCACCTGGAACAAATTTCTAAGTCCCATTATTACTTGCGTCATTGGCGTCGCCTCCTTCTCATCCCCTTTGCTGAGCATAATTAGAGATGTCATTATACTTTTCAATCAATTTTGTAACTGACGTAACTAACAGATGATAAGATTATATAAGTACCACTCAAAATGGGGACGTGTACATTTTTTAATGAGTCGCGAAATGACAGCTGTCACCTTTTGGTCATAACCCAAAATTAACATAACATTAAGGGTAGCAAAATGACAACTGTCACCTTGTGTCAAAGCGAGGAACTGGTGAAATAATCTTAGCAATTGGGTTACTGTATAACTAAAAAATATATGTTTGGTCGCGCGGTAAAAAATTGAGAAACGATAGTTTGTATAGTATATTACTAAATATATACTTAAAATGCTAAATATAATTTGAGTATACTTAACAAACTATTAATTTTACATCAAATTACTGCTTATATGCAACTGCGAATGACATTTAAAGTTTTAATATTTGACAACTGCTGCTAATGTCTTTAGCAAGTGTACCAACTTGCAATTTATTGGATCCATCTCTGTCTTTAATGAAAATTAAAAACTTCTCAAGAAATATTTGAATTGAAATTGGACTATTTGCATGTTGTATTATCAACAAATCTTATTTTCTCTTTAAAGCATGTAGAAACAGCTGTAGCGAAATGTTCACCAACTTAAATTTATATCATCATATTTAATTCAGCTGTCACAACGTTCGAGTACGTAAATTTCTTGCCATCTGAGATTTAATGTGACTGAGATGAGCTATAAAACATAATGATGTTTTTCTTCTAGACGCACTTTGAATAAAATCAAGTGGATTGTGCAACAGTTTCTTGCAGTTGCTTCCAAATAGTAACATTTTATTATTTCCCGACTTTCCTAATCGATGAAACACATTATGCCATCTCTCGCCTGAAGCATAACGATTGGAAATCATCTTATATAATTAATAACAACGTATTTATCAGTACTTTTGATCATTGATGTTTTAATAATAGCATTTCTTTATAGTAATTTATAATTATATAATTTTAATATAGTTATAAATCTCATTTATAAAAAAAAGGCTGTAATAATGCATCATTCAATGCTACGTTTATAATTTAAACTTCCGAATATTTACTCCAACTTGATTCAACTTTGAAAAATAGAATAGGTATGCATTTTTTTATTTGTGTTGTTTTGTGGACATTGCGTATAGTGGATTCATACAAGGGTAAAATTGTATTTGAAATTCACATTGAACTTTATTTATATCTTTGTAGATTTCGAGTTAGTAAACTATTCTAAATTTTAATTAATTTTGCTTGATATTTAATGCTAATTTTACGGTAATTAATTATATATACATCAATATTATTGGTTTGAAATTGTTTTTCAAAATTAAGTCTTTGGTTTGGTAAATCATTGTTAGATTAACTATATTGATTTATATATTCTTATATTTTTTATCAATATCATAGATTTGCTACTTAATATATTTTTATTTAAACCTTTCTATAATTTGATATCTATTTATGATTTTAACACTATTCAATTGAACTTGAACTGTTTCATGATTTAAAGTCAATTAACATTCAATCTGTATTATGAATTAATGTTTTTTGTTTGAAAGACATACAGTATTTTTATATTAAATTCTTATAAGTTTCATTAGATTTTTTCAATCAAATTTATAACTTGATAAATGTTTTAAGGTCATTAATTTAAAAGTGATGCGTGTCTTCAAATGAAGTCTACATACATCTACTATTCCAGATCCTATTTATTTTCGTAAATTTCTTGATTCAGGTTACTAACCTGCACTTTTAACGTAATATTCAACCGATTTGAAGCTAACAAAATCCCGTAAATTGTCTCCTCCGCATACATACAAAACTATTGTTATTATTCATAATCATAAGCGTCGTCCGGTTCGTTAGATTCGATTCGAAACACAATGGGCTTAGCCCATAATTGCATTTATTTTACCAGTTTTGCGGTGCGTGGGTACAAGTAATTTGCGTTGGAAATTAGTGAATTCCCAATTCGACATCCTCCAGGTCTCTCCGACACCGTCGATTTCTTTCCGCATGGCCTTTCGGTCTTTCGACTTTCATTATTAGCGGCCGGCCGTCAAGTGGCTCGAATGAAATTAAAGAATACAAATAAATAATGCACGTTTTCTTCCTGCTGCTGCAGCAACAGCAGCAGCAATAGCATTAACAGCAGAGTTAGGCGGTCTGTCCCCACTACGGTCTACAAACTACAGCAGGAGACCAAAGCTCTTTTTTTTCCTTCTTCATTGGATCCCCCTCACCAAGTGGTCTCGGGCCGAGGAGAAAGGACATTGCAACCGTACAGGTTTCCAAGTGAGAGGGAACTTGATACACTTTTTATTTTTATTTTCGTGCTGTTTCCTTCATATCGCTATTGAGAAATTTTTATTGGAAATTTATTATCGGTCCCTCAGTCCATCGTCAGCCGTCACGAGGCAAGCACTCTTTTGACCACCTCCTGCAGAAAACATAAACTTCCCCAATTTCTGTGCGTGAACAATATTATTTTTTATTCTTCAATTTGGGATTACTCTGCAAACATGCGGTTAGTTACATTTTTTTTTACGTATATTTTATAATTCTTCTCGGTGATCTACTAATTCCTTAATAACATCATCATCTCACATTTCTAGCAAATTTTTTAATAACCGAAAAGGAGATTTTTTTTCCTGTATTCTACACTGATCTGTTAATTTTTTTAATAACCGAAGACAAAAGCAAAGCACAAAAAGAAATTCCGCTACAATTACATGCTGCATTACATCTGGACAATATCATCATTCCGAGATACATAGAACGAGGAGCAATTTATTAATTCCTTCGTCGCTTTGTTTCTTGTAGATGATATTTCTTTTTGTTGCAATTTATGTAATTTTATTTTTCCTCCACATCATTTCAAATAATACGAACGGTAGAAAAATAAAACGCACGAACGAGTCGATTCTAATTGCGAGAACATTTTTTCTTCTTCTTTGCAGTACTTGAAGTGGTGGACCAAAGGATTGCGGACGCGTGGATTGATTCTTCCTATTACCTCTTTTTTACGTTGGGCCTTTGTACTGAATGGTAGTTTAAGTGAGGATAGTTCCGTACATTTTTTTTTATAATAAAAAGGAAGTACACAGTGTGTGAACAATGAGGACGGCCCTGATCGTCGCGACGCTCTTCGTCGTCGCGGCTTCCATCTCGGCGCAAAGGAGACCTACGGTGAGTTGCATTGACCAAATAAAGCAATAACCTTTTTATTAACCATTTAATTAACGTTAAATATTTTTCTGATGAATTTGCATCGAAAACGACGAGAAATTCGTATGACACACTTGTACTCAATTTAAATAAATTAAGAAAGTTATTATTATTACTTTTTTTATAAACACGCTATTTGCAAACAAACGCTTGTTTAAATTATGCTACATCCTATTCATACTAAATTGAATAAATGTTGTCTCATTGCATATAACTTAAAGGATCATTATTTTAATTCATTAATGAACACTTTCCATTGCAAACATACAACTAGAACAATTTCAATACGGCGTCATACATATTGTTACTAATATTAAAATATAAAGTTATTAGAATCTTTATTGCAAAAATGGTCCAAATAATTACAATTTTTTTTATTATATCATAGTAAATTTAATTTACAATCTTATTCCTGCGAACATTAATTAAATCTAATGGCGGTAGACATTTGTTTTTTTGGTAAACTTCCCAATGGAAGTTTTTACCATTATACTTTTCTGTAATTTGTTGGTTGGCTGCCGTCTTGTGGGTTAACTTAAGTATATTGATGCTCTGCGATTCCAGTATTCCCTTAGTATATCTCCTATCCTTAACACTGTAATTACCCATCAACTTGGCTGAAGGTTTATATGCTGAACCTCTTTCATTTGACTGTTCAATCATGATAAACGATGGCCCTATTGCTGCAAGCACCAAGAGAGCTCATAAAGGGCCTGGCTTAACCAGGATTCGAATCACAGAATCATGACTTAAGCTTTCGGCTTCAAACATTTATATTAAAGTTTTGAGACTTTGACGTAAGGTTACAACTGTCATTTCGCGACCCATTAAATATTTAACGAGACACAAGGTTTAGAAACACTGCTTTATAATACAAAATCCAGATTTTTCTTCTTAATACAATAAAATGATTGATTGAATATAAATTAAAATTAGTAATATTTCATTTATATCATAAAAAATCCGTCAACATTTGAATGATAAATCATAAAATTATAATAACAAATATTTCTGCGATAAATTACAAAAAATATATGCGTGAGTGAAATTATTGTAGATTCAAGATTGTAGGAAAATAACAAGTAAATATAAGTGGAATTTGTGACGTTTCGTTGCGTGGGTTGTACAGTCTTTATTAATTGTTTCGAATAATTAATTTAGTTAAATTGTAACAAAATGATAATGATATAATAAATAAACGCAGAGTTCGATAGCCTTTTTATAACCAGAAGTCTATTCTAAAAGTTTGCAATCATTGCTTTTTTTTTTCGATAACTTACGCAATCAGTTAAGTCATTTTAAGCATTCTAATATCCTGAGTGCAGATTGCATAAGAATTAATCCGGTTACAAGTATGGATTTATATTAAGATTGTAATGATTGCAGATGTATACTTAATTTATTCAAATAGTTATTAATTCAATTATACAATTACACAAATAATCATAGACAAAAAAAAAGTAAAAATATTGTGTTCAATTCATTGTTAATTAAATTGTTGTCAATATTTAATATTTAACAACTGCAAAATATATTTATTTAACTATAAATCATTTCTTCTCTATTTCCTTGAATATAATTTTTTTTCTTACGCTGGAAAGTTATTGATCAATATAATATAATCATACACTTTCTATTTCCATAAAAAATCCATAAATATATTATTAATACCAACAATAATTTTACCACATAACGTTGCATATATAAAAACTTTTCAACTATAGATTTACTACTCAATGTAAAACAAAATTGTAAGTATTAAGGTGAATTACTTAGATTTTTGTGTGTATGCTCAGAAATATTTTTTTGATATTTTCATTTTACTAGATTAAAGTATACAAGTTATACTTACAAGTATTATTAATATCATACATTGTTTTATTGCTAATAAATATGAAGTAGATATAATTTGACGTTGCATATTTATATTAATATTTCAAAGAAATTAATTATAATGATTTCATTAATAACCGAGAACTTGAAAACTAAGAGTTTCTTCGTGATACACGAATATTTGCAACACTTTTTTTCAAGTTCTCGGTTATGAAGAGAGTACTTCGTGAGAAACCAAACCCGCGCATCTCGCAATGACAAAGTTATTGCTCTACGTGAGTTTCTACACACAAATTCAATGTCTTCAGTTCATGCGTATGTTTCAAACAATACAAAAATTATATTGCATTATCTTTATTTAAATTACATATGTTTGTCATATTATTATTTCACAATTTTATAATTAGTTTTGTAATATTTATTATTGGTACATATACAAAACATGAATTATGTATACAGCAATGTCTTGCAAGTACTACTTCGATCAGCCCGGTTTGAAAATTTTAGAACAAACTAAATTTTAATTAAAAAATTCTAAAAAAATATTTTTTTATACATAAATGATAGTTTTATACTTTATACAAGTCAAGTGTCTTTTTATGCTATGTGTTTAATTCCTCGATTAGTACGGTTTAAAACAGTTGGAATCGAGCACACGCACTATGTGAGGTTTTGCTGTAATTGCAATTTTATAATGATCGTTAGTTTTTCTTATTCATTAGAAACATATATTGAAGTTTCGATAAATAAAATGTCAAACATCTGTATTCGTTACGAGAAATCATACATTAATTATAAACTTAAATCTTTCTTGCACATATGTTTTATATAAGTTAAATTAGCTGCAATTGTTGCGTAAAGAAAGAAAAGAGAGTAAAAAAAAATAAGAAACATCTTCATCATTTCTATAGAATACAATAGATAAATAATTGTTGAAATTATTTGTTCTACAAAACTTTTACCTTGTACCAATTATGGAACTTTCGGAACTAATTGAACAACATATTGGATTAGTTTTTTTTATATTTTTTTGTATTATTAAATTATTTTCTGCTAAACGAAAATATATGAAAAAAATTGATTCAACAATAATCTAAGATATGTATACTTATTATACTTATGCAAAAAGATTAAATTGAATTCCAATATAACAAGATATTTTTTTAATATAAATAACATATATAGATGTCTAAGCGCGATTAAAACGAATTAGACACGGATCTACATTTTTTTCTCTCCTGTTCTTCATAAATAATGCAGACCTCAACATTTACTTGTACACTTTTTTTTTATAAACTTAAACTCAAAATGTAACATGAAAGACATCAACAACAACAAAATGAACAAGCCTTCATTTAGTTCAATTCTCAAACATAAATTTTACATATGAAAACCTCAATTTTTAAAGTGTAATAGTCCACAAATCCATATCCATTGTCTCATGTTCTACATTTCAAAATTAAATAAAAAATACAACTTGATGAATTCAATTACCTAAGAAAACTAAAAGAAATACCAAAGAATTGATACTTTTTAGTTACATTTTTCTAAGTTTCTTAAGTTATTATTTTAAATAAATTAAATTGAAATGTGAATTTCATAGTAGAATTAAATAGTATTATAGCGATTATTTAATAATATTTTATAGATATCCAAAAGATAGCCAAATTATGCTGCAGAATATATTATTATTTGTTTAATTTCGAGAAGATTTACTTCTATTTGCTTTAATTTATAATTTCATCTTTTTTATATTTACATATACGTCTTACTTTTTTTCACAATTTATGTTTTTTGTGTCTCTGGGTGCATTGTAACTAATATATATTAATATTATTATTATATTCACAATTAATACTATTTTCTTCAACTATCTGAAACTCTTAGAATTAGTATGAAAATTTGAAATAAATACAATATTATTTACTTAAAAAAAGTTATTCAATTTCAAACATTTTAGTGGGTTTATTCACCAACAAACTGCATTTCTTGCAAGCAGTGACACTTATTGGCAAAATGGATAAGAATAGATCGGAGAAAGTAAACATATTTGTGTTGAAGTAAGAAGGCAACGCTTTCATTCACAATATGCGGTTTTCGTATGTCAATTAACGATTTGATGTGAATTATAAAAATATTTTTTAGCAGATTATGCAAACAAAACAAAGAAAAAAACTACATTTTCAAAATGAAACAAGTTAAATAATTAATTAATAGTCGAAAAACAAGAAATAAAAATGTGACATTGAATTGGACCTTGTCGAATTTAGACCGAAATTTGCAACTGAAATGAATTATACGTTTCATTAAATTCTAACAAACTAATGCTGTTCCATATTACATAATACGAATCAATAGTTACATCTTTAAATAGGAGTAAGGCGAGTCTCTTTGTCGTACAGAGAAACCTATTTTCAGTTGTGTTGCTCTTGTAAATTAAATTACAAGTCGAACGATTATAATCTCAGCGCTTGAGCGTTTCGTAATAAACATATAATATATATATTTTAGAATTATATTAAAGCAGTGAAAGTACGCTTACTAGCGGACTTTGTTCGTTATTCACCAGGTTTTTGGTTTCTACTACGTATGTGAACGTATCACTTCTTGTTTTTGCTGTATTGAACCGAGAAACATATGTCCTGTATTCGATAGGTTTAATTGAAGAGTATCTTTTGTGTTGTTCTTATCCGGGTGGAAATGCGGAATCGTTGCGCAAGAAGACGACGATGTTTATTTTGATTTCGGTATAGTGAAACGAAAAATGTGTGTCTCTGCTGGGAAAGCTGCGATTAGGGCAATTTGAAAAGTGTGTTCTTGCACGTTGAGATAATTAGTTGGGTCAATAAAAATTATGACATCGTTCGAGCAGGCAATTTCGTGCCGAATCAATTAACCACGACACGGCCGTTGCGCAATCCACCCCAGATCCGAGCACCAATTCCGATCGACCGTATTTTGCAACCGAGAAGTGTAGTAGATAAGAATTCTTAATGCAGCCGGTACATCCGCTGAAACCCATAATCGAATGCGAAACGCACAAAAACGAGGCGAACGTTTATTATACATATTTTAATTCTATTTCCACCATCGAGTTTCACCGCAAATGTATGCACATTCATGTAATA